GTGAGTAGAAACACCTTTTTTATTTTCCCCAAGACCTAGCCTATTTACCCTTCTCTGAACTGCTGACCATAAAATATAGACAAGCATCTTCTACTGGAAGATAATCAACATCTGAAGAGTTTTTGCACTGAGACAGCAATAATATACTTTTTCTCTCCTCCCCTGCCCACTATATCCTTTATCTCGTGTTCTTTAAAGATTCTGTTTTTTTTATTACTCACATCATTTAATGATTACCTCATGGTATCTCTCAAACGACATTCATCAAGTCAAAAGAGGGAAAAATATGATAGGAGCCATAAGAAAAATAATAGTAATCCGGTGTCTAATATGTTGTATTATATCTACAGTCCACAAGCACACAGTCCACGATATCTTCCATTATCAGTTTTCTGGCTTGACTGAAATATTTACACTTATTTTTTAATAAAGCTAGACAAAGCTTAGTGTATCTTTCATATAGAACAGTTCAAGTGTCATATCCTTAAGCCCTTCTTGACTTACTCAGTATGTATAAATATCTACTTATCGCCATTCAAGTTATTCAATTCTCTGCTTTCCTTTTATTTTGGTTTTAGGCTAAGTATAGAAGCAGAAAACAGTTTGTTATGGAATCAATTGACTGATGCTCAATATTATGAAGGCAGTTTATTTCTGATATTCAGCCTAGGTAATTTTGATAATTCATCATAGCCCTGCTAGTCATTTCTTTTAATGTATCCAATGTATTGTGCTGAGCAAGAGACAATAAAAATTACCCTTGTAATTATACAATTATGCAATGGTCTTAAAAACTGTTTTCTTAATCTTTAATGTATTAAAAAGTTTTCTTTATGGAAAACAGGTAGTAAAAATAGAAAGGGCAAAGTTTTTGCATGACATGTCTTCTTATTGCTCTCCTTTTTGGGGAATGAAAGGTAAACCAATAAGTAGGCTCATACTACCAATGTGTCTACCACAGGTCCAAGAAGCAAAGAATAGTATCAGGTGGTTTGTTTCCACATTCTGTTATCACTGTTTGATTTATTTAAAGATTCTTAAAGTTATAATTCTTCAACTATTTCTTAACTCCAAATTGGAGTTTTAAAATTGGGTTTTGAAATCTTTTGCATAAAACCAAAATATCTTTCTCTCTCTTTATCTCTCTCTCTCTCTCTCTCCATACACACCCAAATACGTTACACATATATTTTAAAGATGTAACTTATATGACTACATTATAACTGTGCTTATGTACAACTTTTTTTATCGTAACATGCTATGATGAAATCCTTATAGCCTAAACTTGAAGGTTATAGTCACTCTTTGTATAGCACTTTTTATCAGTGTGTTCATTAAGTACATTGAGTAATAAATAGCCTAATGGAAATGACATTGCATTTCTTTTCCCCTTTCTCCTAAATTAGAGAATTCCAGTCTTGAAAATTTGAAGTGTCGGCAGTACTATTTTAAAGCCACTCCTTTCATTATATGCACTTACGTTCATTTCTATAACTCTCATAGAAGACTAGAAATTGGTATCTAGTATAACAGAAATATTTGAAGTTTTGTTTAATTTGGCAGCTTTTAAAAAAATATAAATTGTAAAAAGAACAGGAAAAGTCAATGAAATAAAATGAATTAATGGAAGGAATTACAGTATCATCTATCTGTAGGTATAATGAAATCATTTTGAAAAATCCGTTTGTCTCAATCTAGAATCCTGATTAATTTTCAAAGTAATATTGTAGCACTATCACAATTTATAATTATCAAGCTTAAATTAATAATTAGGAATAGCTTACAAGTATAAATGCAAAATGTGTATATAAATACATGTATATACATATCAATCATCTAAAATAAAATAGTTAAATAATTATGTATATAGGCAATATCCAAATATGTACAATTATGCAATATTTAATTTTGAATAAAAGCAGCACACATGGTGAGTTCAGTCATCTTCAGCTCTCTTACTAGGCGATGGACTGCCATCTATTGACTCAGAGTAGCCCTCACACGTGAAGTGGCACCAATCAGAGCAATGACCACGTAGAGAAGCCTCGGTTAGAATTCCTACTGTATATTGATTTAAACCAGTCTTCTTAAAATATGGAAATTTTACAGTTAATCATTGGTTAATTTATTTTTATTTTTCTAATCAAAAAGTGTCCAATTCTTACCCAAGGCAAACTGTTTTTGCAGGGGTGGGTGAGAGATTGATTAGTATATTCAGTTGGGAAATGTTTATTTACAATACATTTGGGAGCTTCTCCATTGCTTTTATCTGTCTTCCAATCAGGAAAACTAGAAGGACATTTACACAACCAAGAGTATAGCAAATACAATTTAAGATCTATCCAGGAATCACATTCTTTAAAAGTTAAAAATAAAAATAAAAGTAAAAAAGCCTGTATGTTAAACAGAGTATTGCTTTTCAAACATATAAGAAAGGTGGTGAAGTTGATTGGACAAGTGGACTTGCGAATTGTTCCAAATCAAAAATTTCTTAAAACACTCTCAAAGAAAAGACATATTCATTATTCTCAGCAGTTTCATGAGAGATCAGATAAAGCCTCCTTAACAATTTGTATCCGAATAGAAGAGCTTTTTAACCAACTCAACTAGACTTCTCTACATTAATAAAAAATAAGACCATCATTCTAAAGGGTACATTCTAATAAAAGTCTAAAACACTGCCTTTGTGTCTACATATATAGTACATACATGCTGTTTGGTTATGCCATTTTTCTTGATACTTTTTAATAGCTATAAAATTGTCTTATAATTAAGGACTTTAAATTATCACTTTGGAGACCTGCATGGGAAAAAGAAAAAAATATACGATTTTTATTTAGCAATTAAATAATTTTCCCAAATAGTTTATGTATTTACTTCAAAATGTTCAGAGAGTTTTTAAAATCTTCAATAATAAAGTGCCGTTCTTGTATTTTAATTCCTGTTATATTTTCGAATTGGTAACATCTAGCTTTGAATATTCTTTTTTATCTTTCAGATAACTCACTCGAGATAAAAATTTTCCCTCTTTAACTATTCAAGAAGGAAAGTCCCTTCCCCCACTCCCTGTCATTTCTAGTCTCATTTATATTAAAAATCCTAGGCCAAAATGGCCACCAACGGAGTTTTACAACCAACAGAATTTTTAACTAGTAGAGGCTATAATTTGACATGCTTTGGACATTTTGTTAATCTTGATTTTAATCTTCTTAAAAAAGTAACTAGGAGTTTGCTATTTGGGGGCTGTATGTGTTAAGAACCAAAAAGGACAATACATCTTTTATGTTTAATTTTGCCCCTGGATTTCTTTGTGTACCTTGTTAAAATGTGTTACAACCTGCTACTTTTTATTTTAACTTAAAAGTTTAAGCAGAAAGCAACTGTAACCGTTTAGGGAGAATTACATTTTAAATGTTTCTTTATATGTAATCTTTGGAATGCCTAGAATTCATACTTCAAAGAGTAAAATACTTCCTGTCAGGAAAAAGAGGAGTAAGTTTCCTTGACTTCCTTTCTAGCTTAGAAAAGGCTTGTGACCAGCGGTTAATAGTAGTCTTACCTGAACTAGTTGAATGCCAGAGTGTATCTTATGGACCAAAAGAAAGGAGTAAGGAAATGGAATTTGATTGTGAGGCCATAGCTATACAAAAGTCTTTATCGTGCAATTGTGATGTAAGATAAGGTGAGTAACAATTTTCTAGCGGCCTGATACTAAAATGGAGTTTTTATTTAATAAGTTAAAATGTGAAATAAAGAGTTTCAAAAAGTCATCCTTAAGCCAGAATTTTTTCTTGTCATGGAAAAAAGAAAACCCTCTTTTAATTGGATATATGTTGGGAATCCTAAATCTCTTTCTGAGAGCTCCTTGGCCATATAAGCAGAGCGGCAAAACCCACAAGGACCCCCATGTACATGGTAGATATCAAGTGATGGGGGGGGGGGGGTGTGTGTGTGTGTGTGTGTGTGTGTGTGTGTGTGTGTGTGTGTGTAAATAGAACCGGTTGTAGGGGGGGTGTGTGTAAGAAAATAGAACTGGTTATATATTGTATTTTAAAATGTTTAACTCCAAAATAGAGTAAGAACTAGGCCTCACTCTATTTTGGAATTATTTAAATCAACTTTTTCTTTTTTAATTTCTTTTAATTTTTTTTTTAGAGATTTTATTTATTTATTTTCAGAGAGACAGGAAAGAGAGAGAAAAAGAGAAGAGAAACATTAATGTGTGAGGGATATGTTGACCAGTTGCCTCTTGCACACCCATAGCTGAGGACCCAGCCCACAACCCAGACATGTGCCTTGACCAGGAATTGAACCTGCACCCTTTTGGTTCATAGGCTGGCACTCAGTTCACTGAGCCACACCAGCCAGGGCTAAATCAACTTTTTCTTTGTACAGTTTTTTTGAGGCCTAGCGTACAAATTATCTTGAAGTAACACATAAATTTTTTTGTTTAAATTGTAGGGGTTTTTTCTCTATATCTGACAACACTATTTCAATGTTTGGATTAGCTAAAAGTTGCTATTGAGATATTACATCTTTGTCAAATTTTCAAAGATTTAGTTTTCATTAAAAATACCCATAGTACTAAAATACTATTGAAGTGAATGTAATTGTGCTCTGATGATTTGGCAGGCACAGGTATTTTTGTACCTCAGGGCCATCTGAATAAAAAGAATTTTTTGAATAAGCATTGATAACTTATTTTATGTGATAACAGATAAAAAATACATTTGGACAGTGACTAAAATTTTTTAAGATTTTTTAAATGGAAATTCTATGTGAATACTTTCATGTTTATTCACTGTTCTTAAAGATTTTAGTGTGAACATTATGCTGGCAGTTTTTTTTTCCTTTTACTTCAATCTTACCATGTTTTGAATTTAGTTTAAAAGATAATTACTACATTTACAGAGTAGGTCGACTGATTTTTTTTTTTTTTTAATCTTTATTTCTGCTGGCATGTTGGACCACATCTTGCCAGAACTTATCATTCGAAGCAA